GCACACAGGATCTCAGAGTTGAACCTCTTCTTGTATTTGCGGATCTCCGGCGTGTCGCTCTGCGGGCGAGTGTTAACCGGGTTAACGTTGACCACGGAGCCCTTCCGAGATGGGTCAGCCCTCAGCGCCTCTGCCAGGCGGGCGTCATTTCCATAGCCTAAAAGGTCAAAGGGAAGGGCTTAGGTAGGACAGTGCAGGATGTAGAATTTACCGGGCAGGGTGGGGGTCAGTCAGATGGTCAGCATTAGAAAGATGGATGGATGTCCTTAGTTTGCTTTACAGGACTGATTATCATAAAATAGTCTGAAATTGAAGGCTGTGGAAGTTTGGACAACAAGAATAATTTGGTTATTATCCAAGGAACTGATCTACTTCAAAAGACAGAAAGTTTCTAATTTGTTCTACAATGTGGGATCCATAACAAGCTATGCAATGTCAGAATACCTCTGCAGCCACAGTGTATATAATCATATTTCATAGTCTGTGTGTCAGAAAGTCTGCCTCTCTTGAATCGGCATCTGGACTTAAGACATCTGTAGAAAAATCTAAACTCATCAAATCAGTGATTAAATGCAGTACACAATCTAGTGTACTTAAGGGGTCAACGGCTGGCCACCAGCTGCATCAGGTGAGGTAATGGCTCAGCATACCAGAGGAACGATCTGGCCTTGATGATGACCAATCTTCTGAGGGATGATGGGAACAGGAGGACTGCCTTGATAAGAAGGCTTTGTTTATAAACTGTGGCGGCTAACATGCTCAGAGAGTCCACGCTAACAAACTGCCCTTGGTTTGGTTTTCATTTTTTTCTGAAGGTTTTCACACACTCAGGAGGATGTTTACCCCTGTTCCCTCCAGAGGAAAGGTTTTTTGGGTGTTTCTGTGTATTATGTGATAAAAACAAACGAATAGCGAAAATGAAGTGTAGATAAAGAAAGTGAATGACATTATTGTTGTCAATCCTAACTGTCCCAGTTCTTTCCACTTCTGATTTCCCAAACCTTAATGTTCCTGAAATAGAGAGCACCTGGGATTACAAGTAAGTTTGTTATTATGAACCTTTTGGCATCTGATTATTCCCAACAGCCAATGGGGGACGGGACTTACCGACGTTGTTGAGAGCACTGCCGGTGGATGGAGAGACTTGGAGGAGGCGTGGATCGATGAACGGAGTGAAGGAGGAAGAGGACTTGTGTTTCTGCATGTTGTTACTAGACTGGCTCTACAGTGAGATAGAATAAGACTTAGTGGTGGCAGAATATCACATCTCTGAATGGGTTATTTTTGAAAAAACATATTTACAGCATTAGATGCCTCAAGATAACAATTAATGTAAATGATTCAGACAATGTAGTGAAACAAGCAGGCAAACTGAGGTATTTCTGTATGTGTTGCATGCATGTACAATGGGCATTCAATCCGAGAGTAAAATGATAAATACTGAGGAAAAAGCAAAAAACAATGGTGGTGGGTAAAACATATGGAGTGCTGTTGACAAAAGAACAAAAGGGGGAACAAAAATGTGGTTTAAAAAAAGTATTTCCATGGGAAACATACTTGCCGTTACGCTGTTTGCTATGATCTATTGTCTGGGGAATCTGAGAATATGACTCGTTTGCTGAAAATAGGCAATGTCAAGGAATAAAATGAGATTTAGATGTTTGGGGAAACGCTTGTAAAACCACAACTAGTCTCAGAGGACGCTGAATCTCAACCAGAGCTAACAGGACTGTTTTGATCATAAATGCAGAACTCACTGAAGCTAGTGAGAGCTGTAAATCCTTCCCCTAAAGTAAACTTTATGTCTTTTAGTATTTTAAATCAAAGTACTTCAAAATATGTACAATAAACTTGAGAAAAAAAGTGCTTTGTCTTCCAGTCGTATTTACAAATGATGCCAAAAATGCAGCCCTCCACCAAAACCAGCATCTGCAGGAAGCGTGTGTCAGTAGAGCCAGAGAAGGCTCGCCAGTGCCAATGGTGACCAGCAGAGGGCACCCTCTCCAATCCAGGACAAAAAATAGATTTAGGAGAAGACATTATCATGGCCGGTCAGAAGTTGTAAACAGCAATATGAGCAGAATTTAACATGTTTTTAAATAATATTATTTATGTTTTTTGGTATTTTGGCTGCTGCTGTTTGGATTGCTGTGAACTCACATAACTGTTAGCCAACTTCAAACATACATCCCCTTTGGGTATTGAGCTGAACTGGTTTCTACTCTGTGTTTCCAATTATGGCAGGCCATGATGATTTTGACCTCTCTTTGCTTCCTCCTGTTCCAGATTTACATCAGAAACGGCACCCCTAAGCAGATGTCCGTGTTCGGGCTGGGGTGGGAGGGACATACCTCTGTGAGGATGCTGAGCTTGTCCAGGGCACTCTGGGGGGACATGGAGGAGGGGCTGGCGAGGCTGGAGGAGGAAGGGGAGTTGGATGCGGAGGAGGAGGGGGAGGAATGGTGGCTCTGTTGGATCAGGTCTGGGAGGTGGTGGATGCGGCCGGCAAAGCCGTTCCTTTCGGAGTGCTGTGTGGGGTGATGGTGGTGGTGGTGGTGATGATGATGGTGGGGGCTGGGGGTGAGGTGGCCGAGGCCCGGGCCCGAGCCGGGACTTGGGGCGAAGCCTGCAAGCAGGCCTGGGGTCTGGGCTTGGCCCGGGCCGGGGCTCGGACGCTTTCTGTTGTCACCTGCACTCTGGAAGTAGAAAGAGGGGTACACGACTTTGGGTCTAGATGTGTTCCTGATGAGTTCAGGGGAAGGGAAGGTGCTAGCTAGAGCAAAGGGCAAACTACAGTGGCTACTCTACATGCGGAAAGAAAACTCTCATTAGTAGTCAATTATATGCTAAAATAATATGTTAAATCATTTTGTGGTGTTTATAGGTACTAAATACATGTGATAACTGTTAATGATGAAATAATCTAGATGTCCTAAATGATTACTGTAACAAAACCTGAATAAATGTTTGATAATAAATTCAAGCCTTATTACTGAATTAGATAATGATCTTTACGTGTAATTAAAAGCTATGTGGTTTTATAACCAACATACACTAAGCTTCTGTAACACTGAGCTGCTCCACCAGCCACAAAGTATACAAGAACAGAAGGTAAGCAACACAACATACAAACAAAATGGAAAAAAACACTTGGGGTATGAATGAACAAAATACACAACTGAACTCAAAGTATGTGGTAAATGATTGGTTTGTTTGTCTGTCTGAGTTGTGTTGTTTTTTCTCTTCAGCCAGTACCTGTCTGACGATCAGTGTGCTGTCTTTGCAGGGCGTCGAGCCTGCATCGCTCTCGCCTTCATCGTGAACGATCATGGTTTTCACTGACTCTGTCTCTCCATTACTCAGCCTGGAGGAACTGTGGGAGGGGAGAGGAGCTATTCAACACGAACACATTATGTTTCACGCTGGTAGAACATGAGGAAAAAGACGATCTCTGTATTCCCTCCTTCACCAACATGCGGTTCTGTTTACGACGACTCTGGCCTGTTACTGACTGGTCCATGTTATATTGTCAATGCAAAGTGTGTATGAGATCAGATGTTTACATACACAGCTCTGGAGTCCTCCGGCCCAGAGGTCGACTCTTCGCCGGCCTCCTGGTCTACCTCCTCATCGTCATCTTCATCAGTGGTGTCTGAGTCTTCACTGGAGGATGAATAATCTGTCACCTTATTTTGGGGGCGAACATCATCCACTGCACGCAGCTCTTTGGCCAGAGCCGTCAGGTCCTAAAGGTCAGGAGGTGAAAGGTAAAACCCAGGTCAGAGGTCATTTTGGTCTCACTAAGCACTATTTTTTCTCCCTGTCTTGGAAATGTCATTAGCTAAGATGTCACACAAGATTTTCAGTTAATATTCCTTTGGAAAAGGCAGGAAAGAGAAAGCTGCTGGAGAAAAAGAGTTATTATAGAAATACGCCAGACAATGAGAAGCCAACGTGAGAGCAGCAAAGCCAAAAGATGAAGCGAGGAAAGAGATGTCGTTCAGCTGATGCTCTTCAATCTACTGCAGGTTAGGTTAGTGGATTAATTCTAATAATGAGACAATTATTAGTGCTTTAGTGAGTTAAGATGGCCACCACTCAGGCAGAAAGACCAGTAGAGAGAAAGCAAGCGATAAGTGCAGAAAACCTTCAGCCAGTGAGCTCAATCCAAAGACGTCACCATTTCACAACCAGATCACATGACAAGCTACAGGAGGCAGTTTAGTATTATTCAAACACACGCATAAAAAAAGATCTCCCATTAGGCCACGCCAAATCATCGTGCTCACTCCAGCTTTCAAACAATACAAACCCAGCATGTGATTATGACTATATACACACACACACACACACACAGTTCTAGATCTAGATCCATCCCAGCTAGTGATCTACAGTACTGGCTAGTCAGCTTTGAGTCAACTCTCACCGCTGGTCTGTTTGGCCTGACCAAGTCCCTCCTCTCCTCTGGTTTTTTCCCAGCATTCTCTGGCCGTTGGAGGGGTGAACCCTCCGATTTGGAGGAGGCTGAAGGAGGTGGAGGTGAAAAGGTCAGTTTATTCTAAAAAGTGATGTTCAAATCCAAATGTGTATGTGTTTGTGTAGCTCCTTCACTAAATGCTAATGCTTCCTTTTAAGGTGTTTCAGTTACATTGTCCACCTCCGTTATGTTCGTAAATGCTGATTTGTTAAGGGTGTGTGGACTCACAGCGGGCCCTGAACCTCTCTCCAGAGCCGCAGTGAGAACCGGGCTGAGAGCTGGAGTTACTGGAGCTGCTGGAGGAACTGGAGCCTCCGCTGCCACTGTTACTGGTTGGTTTGGGAACCAGTTTCTCCACTCGCTCCCACAGCAGCCGAGGCTCCGCTGCACTGTAGAGCCAACAGACACCGGGGTCAAGAAAGTTAGAAATGAGGTCATTGTAGAGACACTTGCTTTTAACTGGTAGGGTTACAGAAGTGCTGTTGCACCAGAGCTACTGCACAATGTGGTTGATGTTTTTTTATTCAAACACAGAAACTTGTATTTTTATATTCACACTAATAGGTAATATTTTGGGCTGATATTCAATATCTTAAAACTAAATTCAAATTATCACCTTGCGGCTCAGAATGTGTTTCAGTATTAAACTTATAATATTAAATGGTAAACTAATAACAAAATTTTCTGTTTAACATAAAGACGTTTAAGAAGAGAAGTACAAATATGCTAAATAAGTAATAGTACAGTAAGAACAGAGTGTATGTTGTTCTAGAGATGAAAAAATTAAACTGCACCGCAGGGATGGAGGAAGGGAGAGAGATAACAGAATCTCATGAGAAGGCTTGTGATTTGGAAATTGAAAACTGTGTGTGAACAAACACACATTCACACACAAGTAAAGAAGTATCACAAGGTTAGACAGCTAGCACTATTACATAAACCCTCCCACACAACTCCATAGACAATGACTATAGCAGCACAAACAGTGAAGACACTGAGTGCACTGACTGTACAGACGCAATCCTGTGTGTTTGTGTGAGATTCATCTCCAAACAAGGCAAGTGGTTTTTTTGCCACAGTCGTTGAGAAGGCCATTGTTTTTCATGTCTTTTTAATTACATAGTTAAAAACAGCAGCTGGTTTCACAGTTTCACAGCACTCACACTCCTCTCCTAGAGGCTGCAAATGACTTTCTTCAACAAATTGACATTGTGGAGTTTTAGTTCCTTAAGATTTAGTCAGAGTCCTAGAATGATTCAGCTCCCATAAAATGTTATTGTAAACCAACTGTAGCTGCTCAGATATATTCTCCTCTATTGATATAACCCACAGGGCACTATTCTGGGCCCATTATTTTATGTTTGATGCCTATTGCAAAAATACTGATTTACAGACCTGTTTGTTTTGCATCTCCTACAGTTTTTATATTATAATAAGATGAACAATATGCCAAACCATGCATATTTTTTTATTGTATTTTCATAATCGGTATTATTTTTGTATACATTTTATACTCTAAACTATTCAGTTTTTTAAAAATTACACACACACACACACCTTTAATTTTCAAATAATCACAGAATCATACATCAGAGGGGTTATGTCAGTTTACCTGCCAGCGTTGCGTGGCACAGCATGGCTGCTGTGTGGGGCGTTGCCATGGTGATGAGGCGAGTCTCGCCTTGACAACACCGGGGACCTTGATGTAGTCCTGACAGGAACCTTTTGTGATAAAAACATTGACCAGCTCACACATACACACTCTGTGTGCATGAATGTGATTGATAATACAGCGAGTACATAAAATACACAAACATACTGCAACATGTTATAAAACCCTTTGTAAAGGCTTCGCAGTAGCATCAGAACAACCCTGGTTGGCACCATCCAACTAATTTCTAAAACAATCTATATTAAACACAGAAACACTCATTTATACTAGTCAAAACCAAGCAACAACACTGATTATGAGCTGTGAGTGTCTGATATGGCTGAAACGACACTGTGTCTTATCGTAATGTAAATAACTGAATCTGCAAACCAAGAGAATGCAGCACTTCTCTAAATTACATATGTTTTTTCATTCACTCGTGCACCACAGAACACATGTTCTGGACAAGTCTTCCATCAACTAAACCCCTCTTCCCCCCTACCATGCCCGACGCACCACTGTAAAACAGAACTATCACTCCAGTAGTCACTGGTCCCACACATGGTCAAACCTTCCTAATTCACATGTAAATTCAGGAAAGCGATTTCAGAACATTTGGTAGCATCCAAAGCACAACACAGCAGTGCAGAGCAGAACTCCCAGTCACAGCAGCCAATATCATTTAGAGTAACACTGAACAGCCATTATTTAGCTTTGTTTAGAAGTTCAAGTTAGGGACAAAATGGAAAGGCTATGGACTGATGTTAATGAATGGTCAGTCTTTTCTTAGTAACATGCTTTCAAGACTGAAACGACTTGTGATGTTTACCATCACAAGAGTCTACCTGATGCTTGTGGAGACGTTTACGTCGTATTCAAACTCTATGTACTGTACAGTTAAGTCTTGACAGGGTGGTGGTTCAGCTTGGCAGCAGTTCTGTTTATAACAGAAGGTTTCTTTTTCTGGTGGGCAACACTCTATGGACTGCATTTAGATCTTTTCAATTACGTTTTTGGATTCTAACTACCCACATTTGTGGGTGGTACGACAGCTTTTCTGACTTTTCTATACTTAGACATAGCGTCTAACACGGTATACATTCAGGTGGGAAAAACTTCTGTAAATACAGAACTCTCTCCTCCTTTGCTTATTTTTCTCTCTTTCTGCAGCTATTTTTATGTCCTCTTGTGGTTGTACAGTAAAAGGCTAAATTAGTGTGGTGAGGCAGGAATAAACAACATGAGACACATTGTCTCAACTTGTCCTAGTATTCAGCATTATCACAGTACCAAAGGCTAGGGTTATAAAGAGGTCACAGACTGATTGTTGTGGTTCACATAACAGCAAGCTACCTCTCTTTATGTCAGCACTGATTCACATCACACATGACATTAGCTTCCTCCTTCATGTGATATTATGTGTTTCGGGGTACAGATTTAGAACAACATCTAATTTCCTCTGGAAGCCTTGGATAGACACTGAAGCTTGTTTTTGTGGGAGGAGGGGTTTAAAGCTGCCAACCAACCTGCTTTTTTTTTTTTTTTTACCAACTTTTATGTTAATTTAATGTGGATTTAATTAAATCATCTATAAATACATATACAGACATAATAGTTTTTGTTCTGCACCAAAAGAAAAGAAAATCCAATAAAGAATGAATTATTGATAGAATCAGGAATTATTGATAGAATCAGGCAGAGGCTGGGAAGCTATTAAAGTAATGAATTTAACAGTTCTGGATAATGACAGATTGATCTCTTGGGATTTAGGACAGATAGATAGATACTTTATTTATCCCGAGGGAAATTCAAGATTGTCCCGTTTGGTCAGTTAACAGAAAATTGTGTCAAGTATCAAACTATTCCTGCCAGACTACAACAGGGGTCTTTATTCCTGGCCTTACCCTGGGCGGTACTTCCTCTGAACGAGCCGCTTCATGGGGTGAGGGCCTAACCTGGGGGTGGGGTTTTGGTTCAGTGCGTGCAGGCGTTGATGATGAGGAGGATGGTGATGAAGATGAAGATGGAGGGTGAAGGTGTTGGTGGGGTTCCTGGCTGTTGCGAAGGTGAAGATTTTCAAAGCTAGGGGCGAGCGGCTCGGTGAAGGAGTGCGACCGAGACACAAGCGGCGGGGTGGCAGCAGAGGAATTTGATGAGGCCACGCTGCCACTGCTCTTTAAAGCAGCCAGATGGGAACGGACCTTACAGACAACAAAAACAGAACACATTGGGGGAGGACGGGTCAGTCTGCATGCAGTGCACTCAAACAAGGACAGGGGATTCAGAGTATCTTTAGGGGTTTGTCAGATTGGAGCCATACAGGAGCCTAAAACTGATCCTTGAGAAACCTCTCTGTAAAAGCTTTTCAAACATGGAACACATAGCATTACTGGCTTTAGTCATTAAAAATTAGGTCTTTATTATGGTTTCATTTAGACAGGACAGCATTTCAATTTTTGGTTCCAGCAGGGACGGGTAAAGTCATAATATCAAGGAAGAAGAGGTTTTTCTGTCTTCCCACAGGCTGCATCAGTGATGGATTTTAAAACTTATTTTGCTATTGTAAATACAGAAATAGAATTTTGTATTTATTAGAGAGCAAATGAAGGTGCCTTTTTTAAAACAACCAACTGGGCACAAATGTGGCATAACAAGGCATTACCTTGGTCCTCGCTTTTAAATCCTATCCCTATTCCTATATGCCTGTATATAAACTGTTTTGCTGGTAATTTGTAAATGTCAGCCCTGCAGTTGGCATGGATGAAAATGTAGAGATTGTAATTAAGTGATTTATTACAGAGCTCTTAAGAAGAAGGAACATGACATGCATTTAATCTCTTTCTTTCTCCTTAATCTGACGGCATTCAGTTCAGACTGAAGACCCTTTTGCCTCAGTGGCACATAGTTGAAAAAATAAAGCTCCAAATTGTACCAGAGCCCCTAAAGAACCCAAGTCTTTTGAGTGCACTCGGAGGAGAGAAGGAACATTTGGAAAATAAAAGTACATACACGTATTATCTGTCACTCAGGCTGTACCTTTTTGGGTAGCAAAAGGAGGCCAGGAGGGAAGTAGAAGGCCAAAGGCCATATTTTAATGATTTGGGAGGAAAAGGTACATCCTGTGTAACTAAAGGTATCATGTCATACTTTTGATGAGTGACACAGGGAGGAACAGAAAAAAAAAAGTTAACAAGACCAAAAAGCACAGGCAGTGAATGGAGAGATGAAGCTGAATGGATCCTGAGACAAGTATGGGTCAGACTCTTTGACTCAGTTATTTTAATCAATCAAATACTAACAATATGTGGTAAATCAAGAATAACAAAAAGGCTCAAAGTATCATCCACTTACATTTATGATTTAAAGATCTTATTTCAATATCATAAAGGAGAAGATGACAAATTTATTGTTACAAAAGTGCTGAAATACTTTTAATTTCACCTAATCTACAATATGAAACATGACATGTAACTTCAAGACAATTTAAAAGGACCAGTGTATAGGATTCAGAGGCTTCTAGCGGTAAAGTTGCAGATTGCAACCATTTCAATACAGCTCATTCTTCCAAGCATGTAGGAGACCAGTGGCCATGAAATTCACAACACTATCTACAGCCAGTGTTTGGTTTGTCCGTTTTGGGCTACGGTAGAAACCGAAGAGAACCATGCTCCTTCTGTGGATAAAACGAGCTCATTCTGAGGTAATGAACACACAGTGATTCTTATTTTCAGTTGATGATACATGAAAACATACCTATGAATATTATAGTACATTTCTGCCAATAGATGCTCCTAAATGTTACACACTGGTCCTTTAAGATCTTGAACTTAGATGGAGTGATTTAAGACGAAGATGTTCCAGGCAATCTGTACTCTGGTAGGTAAAATATTTATTTTGAGTTAAAACTTTTAAAGTGAAGCGTTTCGGTATATGTTTTGTTTTAAATTTAATCTCTGGTGTTTTAGTGTTTGAACTTGAGACTGCACATTATGTAGCATGTCATTAACGTTTAGGGTGAGACAACCTGGAGTCTCTCCCCCACAGGAGGATTCAGCTTCACCACCAGTACAAAGCATGAAGATGAACTATATTAAACAAGGCATGAACACAGGCTGGCATGCAAACATACATGTAGGCACAACCACATACAGCTCATACAGCATGCACACATCATGGTTGGGGCAAGAAAGCTTGCTTTGACGCTATGGCCCACATCCAGTCTGGGTTTCTTTCAACTTAACCATGACCATGGTCTTCCCCCTACACTTAACCAAGTAGTTGTAGTTGTTTCAACATAACCAAATGTCAACCACAGAAGTTGAAGCTCATATCAGATGCCAGTGAAGTGTCTTGTTTAAAACACAGCTTAATTTATGGGCTGGAAACCATGGGGTCCAGCACCATGAGATCAGATCAGGTTTCATATTGAGTTTCAAAAGTGAATATGATTGATTGCAGCTTTTGTCACTTGGAAATTAAAGTAGTTGAGACTGCAGTTTGCATTTGCATTATTTAATTAACAGTAATCAGAAGACCCTCAGAATGAACCCATCTAAGTTTGATTCAGTACACAGTGAAGTATGTATGTGAACAATGTTAAAACACAACGCCACAACTCCGTCTGATGACTTACCGATAATGAGACAAAACTGATCAATCCACATTATGGTAAATGCACCAGTGAATTACATCATCACCCCCCACCCCCATTTTTCTAAGTTACAACATCGTTTTTGTATAATTTAATCTGTGTGACATACTCAAAACAGATTGACTTCAATGAACTGTGATTATTCATGCTTAGTGGGTTGAATCCTTCGCTGGGAAGATGACTAATACTGTCTGAGTCACCCTGCTGCAAATCTGGGTGCCCATGAATTATGGATGTTTTTAATCACCAGCACACAATGAGGAGGTACAGTATGTGGAGCAGAGACATACAAACCCCCCAGCATACCACCAAACAATCACTTTCATGTTCACACAGACACACAGAGGCATACAAAAAAGGTGACTCTGTGGTAAGAACACATTTGAAAAATACTTTTGTTTGCTCTGACAAGTGGGAGGACAACCTGTCAATCAAAGAGTTAATCATGGGAGAAGGGTGTATAATCAGGGTTGTGATCATTTCATTTTCATTGCCACAAAAAGTTTAGTAAAAAGGGAGAGTTCTTTTAGATGAAAAGAAAGACTTTCTCAGACAGCCACTGGCTTTGTGTTGTGTCATAAAAAGCTCTGAAAATGAGCATTCTGTCATTAGCTTGGAGATTTAATGCAGTTTCACAATTTACACAAATGAGCGAATGGAAACAGAACTGATGACAACCCAGATGTTAAAAAGAGTCTAGAGAAGTTCAACAACAGCAGATAGTTGGATCCATTATCTGGATGAAACAGCCTGAAAGAGTTGAGCTGCAGACACAATCTAGGATGGAAGAAATCACAGAAAATCAGCAACTCTAGGGAACACATCTCACATATTTCCAAAAATCCTAGTAAGCCTTTCACACCATAGAGCAAGAATATTGAAGTCACCTAAAAGAGAGAACCTTAAAGAGAGATTATGAGAAGAAAAAGTAAAATAACACAGGCAACATCTAGATGATGGGAGATACTGTCACATGAAGGTGAAGCTACAAACGAGGATGAGATACAAGGAGATACAAGGTTTTTTAATACATTTGACATGAATGCTGCAAAGTGAATGAGCTCCATTCACTGTTAGCAAGGTCAGTCCTGCCTGGAAATGAGCCTCCGCACTGTGGCAGCGTAAGGCTGCCAGCATCCTCGAAACAAAATAAAATTTGTCCCATTACATAGGAAAATGGCAGGTTTACAACCAAAAGGAAAATATCTGTGGGTTGATTAAGCTGATCGCCACAGTGTGTGCAGCCTGGCCAGCTGAACTTCAGTTTAAAGAGAGCTTTACCATCATTGTCTCTGTAAAGAAAATGCCAAGTCATCAAAAGTACCAAATATACAATTATTCAATTAACTGATTAGCTGTCCACTGTTAAATTATTTGCCAACTGTTTTCATAATCTATTAATTGTTTTGAGTCAAAAACATTTTTTATGTCCAAATTATCTGATTTCAACTTTTCAAATGTAAATATCTTGTGGTTTCTTTAGTGCTCTATCTGTATTGTCTTATACCAGTCTTCTCTCGTAAAATTTTAAACTGGTCTGTCTTTAACCTCAGCAGTAACGTAAGCATTTCCTGCAACTGCTTCACAATCCAATCTGCCAGTGGAAAGCTTTTAATTTGAAGCCACAACAGGAAGTCTCAAGTTCTTAATAAAAACGTCATTGTGGTTCCAACAGTGTGGGAAGGACCGTTAAGAAAACAGAAAGACAGCTGTTTGTTGGATCGAAGTATGAACAGGAAGGCAGGCGTCATGTGACATACAAGCCTTGTCATACGACTCCATGTATGTTTACTTTTTGGTTTGAGTAGTCAGATCTCCCACAGAGTCTCACAATCTATTCTCTCTGTTGTGGAAATGATTGAACAAACAGACCAGCTCAAAATGCTGCCCGTGTACAGCTGTGAAAGAACAAGGCATAGTTCAAGAGAAGGTAGATGGGTCTGAAGATATCGTCATTACCTGTGGTTCCACAGGCCGGTGCATGGCGGGCGCCTCGGATGCCGAGCTCCCATTGGGGTAGGAAGACTCGGAGCGTGGTGGCACCGGAGGCTGCTGTGATTTGGTCTGAGCTGACTGAGGAGAACCCTGGATGTTCTTCCGGTACCGCTCATCAGCCTAAGTAGGACACACACACACACACACACACAGACACAGCAGCATTAGCAGGGGTTTGAGAGTACAGGTCAGCTTGTGAGACCATAAACAGGAGAGTAAGTGGACAGAAGCCATTAGACGCGACGGTTTGTTAGTTTCCCCCTGCAGAGCAGAGACGTTTTGTACTAGCAGAGGTACAAGCACATCAGAAAGTCATCAGCTGATACAGGCACACCAGAAGGAACAACAAAACACTTCCTCAAGGTCAGCGGTGTTATTGTTGCCACAATATTCCCATATCCCTGCTAGTAGGACAGCAGCACCATGACCAGCAAAGAGTGTCATGCATTTTTCATCTGGAGTGAAAATCATTCACGGTGGAAACAGAAAGGTTAGGACACACACTGAGGTCCAGGACACTGATTCACAGTAACAACTTTGTGTGTTTATTAGTCTGAAATGTCAAAGTTAACTGTAGTCAAAACAAGATAATCCAATCTTAATCTGAAAATTGCTGCTCCTAAACCTAACTTTCGCTCAGCTACTCTACAAATGAGCAGCATCTAAATGGAAGTCATCCTGCATTACTAGAAGAGTTCATTCTTGTTGGTGTGCATTAATTTTAGGGCACTGACAAACTAAAGTGGCCAGCTTCAGAATCGATGAATGTAATATCAGTAATAATAACGTTGTAATCAGAAAGTTCATTGCTGAGATCTGAAAATGCAGCAACAGGGCTACAACAAAGTCAGACAGAGCAACCTAAGCAGACTGTAAACTAACATTTTAACCACATTATCCAAACCACTTTCTGTGGAGGTAAATCTGTAATAATCTTTTATGGTGAGTATGGTAGGTCCACGTTGAACCAGGAAGTCATTCTATGAACTGTGTGGGACAGTTACAGCCGGCAGTTGGGGGTAATAATATTACTGTTCACTTTTGTTTTCTCTTCCAAAAGACTTTCACAACCTATGTGATCATCTGACTGTGTCTTTCCCTTATCTAATGTGTTTCGCATTCAAGTTGATGATTACTCTATCATTACAGAAATGATGGCCAAACTGTGAAAATAAAACCCAAAGGTTATCCTTTCAATATGTCTAACCTACTGACTTCTGCTGAAACAGCCAATTAAACATTACACCTGCTTTTTCACAGTCACTGTTGCCCAACTTCATCCTCCAACATGGCTGCCATAGTGTTTTACATCACCTGAAAGAGTGAAACTTCAAAAATCTAAAAAATCCTGAAGACATTTGAATTTCCAGGCAGTTCTTGCGTCACCAGACTGTATGAAGTGCACAGTGCTCCAGCAAAAACTTCATGCAAACAGCATTTGGTCAGTCAGGATCTGGTTTGTGTCTCTATCCTTTCGCTCCCCCACCAGGTGATAAATGGCAACAGCAGGATCCCAAAAAGAGAGAGACAGGGAGTCACACTGAGGACTAATGAGGCAGCTCATTATTACAGTAACTTCATTAACATGGTGGTAAAGACAACAGCGCGGCCAATTAGAGGAGCAGTAGTGCCCTCAATGAGGAGGAAAACCTGTTCATGGGGGGCGTTTCACAGCAAACTCTTCACCCAAAGTAATTCAACCATGAGGAAAAAAACACTTAAATGATGTGGGCTAGTGTTTTCAAAAGGAATCTCAGGAAAGATCAGTTTGGGAAGAGATCAGATCGGAGGCTTTTTCAATATTTCTGGCATTTGAGCCGAAAAAATAGTAGACCTTTTAGGTTTTTAAAGGGCTCTACATTTCAACTTCACTTGAGCAGAAACGGCTACCTCATATCTGTTCTGAGAGATTAGGCAAGCCTTCTGTTAGTCCGCTATCACTGCAGTGTATTTGCGTCATGGACCACTCTAATTATTAGACTTACAAGTTTAGAAAGAGACATGAATACATTCAAGTCACTTAGCTCATCTACAAAGCGTTCACACATCCCACACCAGTAGCTAGCCGTCACCATGTACACATCGAACACCCAAAGCAGTGGGAGTGAGTACACACAAGCAGAGGAAGCATTCTACAGCAGTCAGTGCGACAGCAACGAGCTGCAAGGGATCACCTCTCTGATAGGCTCAGAGTCGGGGGTGGGGCCTTGGAGGTCAGCGACAGGTAGCTTGGGTTCTGTAGTTTTCTCCAGACTGTGATTTTGACTGGATCTTGTCTTTTCAAAGTCAGCGCTCTGTTGTGGTTTTGTCGTATCTGGTTCAGGGTTCTGCAGGGACTTTATCCTGTCCTGTTCGAGGTTCTGTTGGGGTTTGGTGCTCTGTTGCTGGGCTGTTTTACTACTGTCCAGGTTCTGGTTTTGCTGAAGGGACAGCAGGTAGGCCTGCTCCTGCTGCAGCTGCCTCTGGAGCTTCTGGGCTTGGCGCTGCTCCTCAAGCTCCCGCCATTTATACTCCTGAGTGCAGGAAGGGTCAAGTTGAACCAAAAAAAAATAAAACTTGGGCAAGTTTATTCTCTAGGGGCCTATTTAGAGGACACCTCAGCGACTTTAATTCTTTCAGAACATTCATACCTACGGGCAATTTAAGTCCACCTGATCTTCCTGAGAATGCAATACGTGTAATGCATAATAAGTGAAAATGTTCTTCTTGCTGTAAAGTATCAGGAGTAACACTGTCCCCATATTACAGCTCATTTTCCAAAGCTCTGATGCGGTCAGCACACAACGGAAAGCCTCATCATGACCTTGTAATGGTGATATGCCAGGCAAAACTGCCGCAAAGGGACTGTATGAAAATGATTAGCGGGGAGGTAGCCTCAGAAGTGGGGAGAGTTATATAGATAATAGAGTTATAATTCTTTTGTGTTCAGGTGTTAAATTCTAATGCATGTTCAGCACAAACCAACCTGTTCTATTATGGATGAAATGCAAATATTACACTTATTCACTTACTCATAATTGCAGCTGATTCCACTCATAATGCGAACATATTGTTCCATTAACATACCATGTTTGAAATCAGATTTGAGTTAAGAAGTTATGGTACAGGTCTACAGGATCTGCCTTTTCCATGTTTTCCATTCATTGTGTATGTAAGCCGTTGTGCAATGCATTCTGGTAGCGGTCCAGGCTACTTCAGGGGCATCCGGCAGCATGACCTGCCAACTCTGAAATCTCCCGGAAAACTTTAAAGCTAACCTTCGTCTATCTGCACGGCATATTTCTCGCCTCAAATATTTTCAGAAACACATTTCGCTGAACGATTTTCAATATATAAGGAAAGTAACCAAACGAGCCACCATGTCAGGGTTCCCTCTCATTTTAGGAAATCATTTTCCAGGACTTTTTCACAGCAGCCATTTTGCCATGAAATAGTAGGGTAAAGACAGGTGTAACCATGATACTACATAAGGTTCCAGTCAGGTCAGACAGAGTGAGGTGTGTTGGCTGGAAAGGCTCTATTACACTCAATGGGAAAAAGTTCCACTGACTACAGCTTTAAGGCAATATTGATTATCTCCAGTATATTTGGTCATTTCAATCAATTCCCGGGTGTTTCAATGGTTTTTGGACGTTTGGGAACCCTGCATGTTGGTCTGGTTTAAAATCTGGTAGCATACGCGTTTGTCCAATCAGGTGCAACCAGGAAGTGTTTGTGCGGTTGTAGGAGGGTGTAACCTTTTGTTAGTCAATGTGATTACAAGCATCCAATGCTGGGAAGCGGCACAACCCACTGCGTAAGAAAGTGAAGCTTTGATCAAAAGTAATTAAACCACTGAACTATTAAAACAGTAATATTTTGAGCTTTTTTTATATATAGTAAAAGGCTGTTCTTGTAAAGTGTTTGACTACTTTAATCCATGTGTGAAAGCCAATCATGATGAAAAGCAAACTTGTTTCTTTCAAAGTAAAATGTTTAAGTGGTGACTGTGAGTAGAGTGATGCGAGGCCTGGAAGTGGGGATGTGAGTGGTCATATCCTTTCATTATCTGAGTATCCTCTGTAACCCCCAGAGGACTAAGACTTTAAAAATGAAAAACACCAAGTCATACAAACCCCTCAAATAACCTAAATCCTCTCCTGCCCGAGACCTGAACATCTGGAATAAAAACAGAGGAAACCCTCTTCCTGTTGGATGACTAGTTTCCTGGTGACGACATCACCATCACTAAGGGCCCTGTAAACATCTCGACTTTCCTCAGCACAAACCTGAGAATATTTATTACGTTTGGACCTCAACTGTTAATGGCTCCCCTCGGCTCTACAAAAGTCATAAGTTAGTCCCAAAAACTTGATTCACTTTGGTTCGGAAAGAAAACTCAATCAGGAAAGTTTGTGTAACGGATGAATAATAAGTACCTTCATTATGAAATTTAACAACCTGGGAGTTGTGGAAACATTAAAAAATAACCACTTGGGACACAGAAACTGATGGAAATAACATTCAGGAAATATTGTAGATTTAGAGAGGCAAGGGGGAGAGAGAGATCAATCTGAAGACACAGAATGAACGAGGGTGTGACAGGGGACAATACTATACTATTCTAATTTATATATAAGATTATAAGGTTAATGAACTTAAATGTAAATGTGATGTCCCAGGTTCAGACAGGGCAGCCCTCACACTCACCAGCAGCATGGCCTGTTCATGGAGCAGCTGCTGCTGCAGGATCTCCAGGTGCCTCTGCTCCTCCTCCAACTGACGACGGATGTACTCCTGTCAATCAAACGCAGCCCAGTCCGCCCCCATTAGTTCAGTCTCAGACAATTATATATATTTCCATTTCCACATCTTAATTATGAGGTAGGTCTGCAAACTGTAGTGGAACACACAAACAATAAGCAGCCCCTCTAGCATTTCATGCTCTTGTGATTACGAGAATGAACACAAATTCAACCACTTTCTGAGCCAAAGCCAAATAAAAATCAAGCTTTAAACTTCATGGTGGAAAATGTCATTTCTGAACTCTAAAAGATTGGTAGACAAATTGAGATTTTAAAGCTGAATTTCTAAAACTACCACAGTTTTTTAGAGGGGAAGTCATTAAAAAGTAGGTAAATTAGGGCACTAAAACAAATACAATAATAAAATAACCTAATAATGATTTTAAAAAAACTTAAAGGAAATATATTGAAATGGTTTCTTTTAAAGTTAGACAAATCAAAAACCATCACTTTACTGTGGGATTCTGGCCCATACCTGTTCTCGGTCAGCCCTCCTCTTTTCCTCCTCGGCCCTCCTGCGCTCTTCCTCCTCTTTGCGGCGACGCTCCATCTCCTCAACGCGCCTCTTCTCCTCCTGCTCGCGTCGGCGCTGCTCGCGCTCCTGCTGCCTCCTCATCTCACGCTCACGCCGTTGTTGCTGCGGGAGGACATGGGAGGCCAGTTAATAGAGGAACCTGTTCATGTCCCCTGACTGTGTCCTAGTTCTGATTTGTGTCTAGTCATATGTGACTCAGCGCTCGTGTTTTACAATCAGTGTGGAACCACATATAAGTGGTATAAAATCAGATCCTGAGTGGTGTGACCTACATGCAACTTCTGTCAGAACACAGCTGATGTGTTTTTGGTAAATCTTCCATCACTCATCTAATACTTGTCTTTTATGCAGTATTAGTAAAAAGTCATACAACAGAATAGCAGCTGACACATTTTTGTGTCTGTGATATTGTATCCCGAAACACTATTGATTATGATTAACTCCATTTACAGAACATATCGTTATAAAGAGTCAGGCCGAAAAAGATGTGAAAAGAAAATAGCTACAATGACAGACTGAGATTCATCCAAATAAATCCATTCTGGCAGCCCTTGTGGACAAAAGCGCTTTCTACCGCCTTGTTTTGTTGGTTTACAGAGAAGTCCGACCAAACCCGACCCGGTGGCAGGCATTAATAACTATATAGATATAGCCAGTCTTCTCGCTGATGGTATCTAGGTCATATAGAGGCATCAGTTTTAAATTGGGACTGTTTCATAACCAGTTAAAAACTTCTTGTAGTAGTTTTGAGACCATTTTTGCCAAGAAAACCAACAACACTGGCTTCCAGTGAAACAAACCAGAAACATTTGCCAAAATATATATTTCAGTTCATATTTAGTTCACATAGTAAATAGAATATTTTTTAATGTTGAGCAAAACAGGCTTTGAAGATGTCGCCTGGGGCATATTTCACTATTTTCCTACATTTTATAGTAAAAAAGAAAAAAAAAATGAATCAAAAAATAAGAATCAGTAGATTAATAGATAAAGAAAATTATTATTAGGTGCAGTCCTACATTGATTTGAAAGAAAATAGGATCAAAGCAGTGGGGCATATAGATTCATTTTGAGGGCTGTATTCTGATTTTTAAAAATGCAGAACATTCAAGGCCCTCTGTTCAAGGCTATGGGCCGCCCTGGTAGCTCACCTGGTACCACATGTCAAGGCTGAGTACTTACGGCAGTGGCCCGGGTTCGAATCCAGCCCAGGCTTTATATTGCATGGTAGTTCCTCTCTCCCCCCTGCCTTTCCTTTCTGTCTCTACTGTCACTATCCAAAAAAATAAAGCGAAATATACAGAAACCTGTTTACCTGTGTGAGTGGAGAGAATATAAATAAATACAGACGGCGGATGAGCTGAAGTGACAGGATGAAGCTGAAATGTCGACATTTCAAGCACTGCGTTAAGACTTAATCATTTAATCAGAGTAATATCTTAAGTCTGACAGGCAGTTATCTAATACGTGGCTCTCTAGGCAGACAGATGATGAAATTACACTGACTTCTGTCTGTCAGTGTGTCATGAAAAGGTGCAGTGAAAGCTGCAGGATATCAGTTTTGGTCATGTTTGTACACACTCAGCATTCAGGATTCCACAGGAGGTAATCCATGGAACAGGAGAGCACATGTACAGTGGTATTGCCACAGAAACCTTGCACCTCTGAGGTGTTTACATGCTCAAACCTCAATTTATATGCTCTATTTCTATTCATTCCTTCGTTAGTTTATCCCTCTTGTAGTATTTAGGTCTCTCTCTCTCTTCCTTTCCTTCCAGTGAATTAAGTTCAGTCCACTTCTGTCCAAACTTATAATCGTCTCTTTGCAACAGCCCTCCCTCTTCTATCACTTTACATTGCCCTCTCTGTTTTAAGAGAACTGAGGTGGAGAAGCAGCCACATGCACAGACACTAATAGAAAAGAAACAGCTCAAAGAGATAAAGGATAATTACAAAAAGGGTTTTCAAACTCATCCTCTGGGGACACCAATTAATTTTTTTTTCCCCAAAGCAGCCTAAATTTGATTTTGGAGTCTATTATATAAAATTATCCAGCAAAAAATCTAACCACTAACCTCCAAGTCAAAAGTCTCTAATCTTATTACACAGAGATAATGTACCTGACACATCGGTAAATCCCTCCTGGCTGACACACTATCAGCAGCTGCACTAACAGTCTTCAGTCTGAAGTGTGTGACTTTGGGTCTATTTTGATCATTTTAAACTACATGAGTTGCGTAAAGTAATTGTAGGCCCCGTCCGTACATACAGCATGCACAGTGAGTTTATTTTTCCCCATTGCCTGTATTTAATAAGCTTTTTATTCAGCAATTTATCAAGTGTAATAAGTACTGTAGCTTGTAATACATCCATAACACATTCCATCTTCTCTAATGTATTTTATATTTCATGCATCAGTTCACATGTGTGAATGCACAACTTCATTTGAAGTTTCTCAGTGTTGTAAAATAGGGAAGTCACTCACTCTCCTGCTTGTGGAGGATGCGTGCAGGAGGTTTCATAAATAACACAAGTCTTGCTCAGAAACAGGAGTATTTTTAGTCCTATTCTAACTTTCAATGGAACTCCTGGGAGGGATGCTGTGATGCTTGATAAATTATAAATATACTTTAGATACGGTTTTCAATTAAACATGTGCCTGTCCAAACAAAGTAAAATTTTTGTTTTTAAACCTGGACTGTCTAAGCTTACTATATTTTGCCCTCTCCTTTACAAAGCTCTTATGGATGCACTCACTGAGCTATGACGGGTCATTTCTGAGGCCTGCGTGCTTACCTCCTCCAGCCGTCTCCTCTGCTCCTTCTGCTGCTCGATACGTTTCTGCCTCTCAGCCAGTAGTTGGCGCTTGTACTCCTCCTGCTCGCGGAGCTGCTGCTCCTGGAGGAGCTGCTGACGACGCAGTGCCTCCGAGCGCTCCTTGTTCTCCTGCTGCAGTCGGATGAAGTCTCGGCGCAAAGTCGACTCACCCGGCACGTTAACTATGGAGCTATAAGGAGGATGCAGTGAGAGGATTTAGCTGGTGTGTTAGCTCACAGCGTGCTAATTCAATTAAAGGTTTTTCACTTCATATACTGTTTCATATGTGTGATAATATACACCTACCTTGGCTCTCCTTCTTGCTCCGATGCCTCTTCCTCCTCTTCTTCGCTGCCACTGTATTCATACTCCGTCTCATCTGGGGATAGTAAGGAAAAGTCATTAAATGTTACATTTAAATGGTGGAACCATGTTAACTTTGAACAAAAGAAAGTTTCAGTTTCACAGCAGTTACACAATCACACAGATCTCCCTCTGGGACTCACCCTTCTCGCCCCTCTTCTTCTTGGTTCGGTCGATGTGGTCTTTGAGCTGGATGCGGACCTGCCTCTCATTAGGCTGGTCCCGGATGAAGGGGTGTTTCAGCAGCTGCTCAGTGGGGGGACGCTGGGTGTAATTCTTCACCAGGCAGCCCTCAATGAAGCTGAAGAACTTCTTTGACCTATTCAATTAACGTTAAATGTGACATTTGGACGTTACATTTTCAGCCATTTATTTATTTATCTACTTGTTAGTATGAGAGAGGATGTTCACAGAGAGGATGAAGATTAAAAACATAGCCCACCATTTTTTGGACTTGAGTCGAGGGGGAGGGTTTCTGGGGATGAGGAAGAGGGCTCTCATTGGATGCATGTCGCACAGAGCTGGAGGAAATGATAAAAGAGAAGTAGGTGAGAGTTGGCTTGAGTTGTGCCAAAAGCACACGTCCAAGTCATACATTTTAGTCTCTGTCTTGCTTGTTTAAAGGTGTCCCTTAGTCCTTCCACTATCTGCCATTGTTAGAAACTCTACAATCTTTAGCTTAATTTGGAGATTAAAAAAACTGCACCATAACATTAATAACACAAATTTCTGAAAACTTCTATTTGAATGATTTAACATTTTTAAAATGCAAAACAAAGCACCATTAAGTTAACGTGTACTTACGGGGAGCTCCCTCAGCCATCTCTATGGCCGTTATTCCACAGGACCACAGGTCACTCTGAAGGACAGAATGAGTCAAATGAATCTGTGTGCATGTTCCTCTAATTTACACATGTCTATTCCTACCAAGGAGAAGTAGATGTGTCATATGAAAGATAGCAGTGGTTCTCAAACGTTTTAGCATTTGACCGTTTGGCTGCACTGGCAATGTACAGACTACAGATACATACAGTACATGCAAAATTCCAAAAGTGTTTGGGTCCGGATCTTGGTCCTGAACAAGTGGTTGAAAACTGCAGCATTGATTGGGGATTTTATTTTATGTATTTTATGTAATTTTTCCTACTTTGTCACTCTTACCTTGATAAGTTATCAGTCCACTTCCTGATATACTGTAAAACAGAAGATCCAGTTTCTGTTCAATTCAGATCCAGATAAAGTTCCTTACCCTGTAGTCGTAGGTAGCGTCTGGATTTTCATCACAAGCAATGACCTCTGGAGCCATCCAATATGGCGTCCCAATGAAGGTGTTTCTTCGCCCTACTGTCCGGTCCAGCTGAGCACTCACACCGAAGTCCACTGGGAAATACAACGTTAGGAGATATTATTACTGGTTCAAACCATTTTCATCAACAGAATCATTTCTACAGAGTATCTGAGTGTCACATGTTGACATTTGTGGACAGATACAATTAAAAATGCAACTTGTGGATCATTCATCTTGTTTGAATTTTTAAACACATCCCCTGTTGAAACTAAGGAGTGAGAAATGTAAAAATGTGATTAAAATAGTTCAGATCCTCTGTGAAGGCAGACTAACATTGTCAGCTGGGTCACTTAAATTTCAGCCGTTGAGCTGAACGAATTCAGTCTTTTGCCCTTGGAGCCATGTTAATTAAAATTTGACTCGTTCTCTCATCACGTTGAAAGAATGGGTATTACAACACACACACTGAGTCGCAGTTATGTTGACATCCCAGTCTGAATGAATGAAAATTTGCACCACTGCCTCCTAATGCTTGTTGTGTTGACTAATTTGATCAAATTGACAAGGACAAAAACTAAAGACATTTCCTTTATATTTTTATTTTAGTTAGCTGTGGTGCACAATATCGTTTCAGTTAGTTTTTTCTAAAGTTGAGTTTTTATTTTTATTTCAGTTGAGTAAAATGGTTTTTAACAACTAATTTTAGTTTCAGTTAACTATAATAACCTTGGGGAAAAACAGCAACTTCTCGCACAGAAACCAGCTAGCAGGAACACGATTATTAATAATAATTCTGCATTTTGAAGTGAAAGTGAAATCTCAATGAAGTCTTTTTATTAGTCTAGATTAGAGGAGCCAGATCCTGAGTCTAATAATTTAACCCATTAGTCATCATTTTCTTTAGTAAAACAGCCTAACAAGTTTATCATGAGGCAAAACCAAGGCCAGGCAAACTATGAAGAGTGTTCAGAAATGAGGCGAAAGGTGGCGTGTTTTGACCACTGGTTTTCCACCTGCCAGCTGGTGCACCTGTCCCAAATCAGGTTAAAGTGTTTCTGTTCACTGACAGACAGGCAGGGAGAGGCATGTAAGGACACACACGCTGCAGCCTTCTCCACCTGTCTAATCGTCGTTCTTTGTTTGATGGTGATACTGTGTGATAATATTTTTTTGAATATGATATGATATGAATATGAATGCAATCGCGAAAGATAGTTTACAGAACTCCTTTATACCCAGAACAATTAAAGTATTTCACTTTGCTTATTTTACTAGTGGTTCATATCAGCTTTGATTGTATGTTTCAGTACCCCTTTTTTAATGCTGGCTAATTTTCAGAGAAAGGCATGAACAGAGGAGTTTTCTAGCTTATCTAGAATGAAGAGTGAACACCCCAGTAGACAATAAACAAATATATCATTTAAAATATTTAAAGATTTTTGGTTTACATGCAGCCCTGTAAAGAATAAGCAGTCATAGATAATGGATGGATAGATGGAGAAAATCAAGCATTTTTTAAGTAAAGTGTCAAGAGTAAATTCAAATTCAAGCATATTCCTAACCTTGAAAACATAAGGGCTAAAGTTAAGCATTTTCCAAACTGCAGAGGCTTGTTACCACAGCTGTAATGTATTTGGGGATTTTGGTAGCACTGTTTCTCTCTTTTGGATAAGATAAGTACACACTAATTTCCTAAAACAACTAAACGATAGTATTTTCTTTTCCATACAATAATAAAAGAGGAGTTAACAATTGATTTGTTGGTGATTGTTTTTAATGCAAATTGAAACACGTTTTTTTTTTTTTTTTTAAATGAGTCAGCACTGGGACAATGTATGTGGGACAGACTCAAATTTCAGTGTCCATGGATTGAACATGTAACCTAGTGCAACAGTAAGGCTCATTCATGCGTTTTATTGGTGTCTTGACAACAATGGAGCTCTATGGCACAGAGGAATAAGATAAATCAGGATTTGGCTACACAGGGATTGTTAGTAGTATAAATTACTTGTTTTTGGTCTTTTCATGGGAATAATTTACAATTAGAAAAATACAGAACATCACCAGCGTTACACTTATACCACAGGATTTCACTGGGTAGAAAAATGCTAGCACTTAATTTATGGAAACTTCTGTTACTATCAACTTGTGATGGCCAACTTATAGATTACATATGCATAATTTCACAGTAGTGAGACTTTGCACTTTATTTAATAACTTATTTTATAACTTACTTATTTGCTAAAAGCATTTCCATGGTGACCTGCTAGAATGTGTGACATAAAGCATGGAGTTAAGTTCTAAACAATCAGAATTCTGCTTTAGACCTCACACACTGAACATCCTGAACACACACTGTTCATTTGTGGCAAGAGCATCGACCGTGTTTGACTACTCTCGAGTCTGTCGTCGAACTTTCGCTTGTGAAATTTATTTACCGTGTCAATTTGACCGTTTCTTTGACTGTTGTTCTGTATTGTGATATACAACAACAAAATATCAATGGAGTTTCTTGAAGGAAGCAGAGGAATCTACAGACCCATCAGGGTATGTGAGAGAGTTTTGGTTTTATACTGGTGTCTTTTACCATCTTTGGATGTATTTTTAAAAAACTGACTAAAAGTAAAAGTAAAACTGTCTTTCCATTAAAGGTGTTGTTCGACACAAAAATATATGATCGGGCTCTACAGATATGCTGGAATTTAAGCAGTTACAAGTCTCAGGTAAAACCTGCTTTCCTTCAGAGTCCACACCAATATAAAATGCCAGATAAGTTCTGATAGACTCTGCCTCATCATGCTTAAAGACGACTTATCCCCTTTATGTTTTGTAGATTGCACTGTTGATGCAACTCCTCAGGCTTCAGCAAGAGAATCAGATCAATCCTCAGGTGACTGCTGAAGACATGATAGACCTCCTTTTGGAGCAGAGCAAAAGCACACTGAGAGAACGGTGAGTTACTGAGACACAGACGGCCCACCACTACACCTTGAACCCTGCTATGTCACACTATTACTCTAATATAGTAGAGTAACAGTAAAGATACCTCTGCTTTGTTTCTGTTTGAAGCCTTTGGGAGTTTGAACTGGAGGATTTTGATATGGAGGACGCCAAACCTCTTCTGGCACTGGTAAGACTACAATCCTGAGATGACTTGTTTGCAGTACTGTGTTACATATTATCCTCAAAATATGTCAAAACTGCACTTCACATCTAATTTCATGTTTCAGGTGTGGGCAGTGAATGTCTGCAATAAAATGAGGGATGTTGAGTTTGAAGCCAAGATGCTCCTTAACTACCCAGAAGCTGTACCTCCTAATTTCCAGTGAGTCATATTTTACACACATTTCTCAACAGTTAAATTACAATAGGGTTTTGAAAATGTATTTTAATCACTGTAACCTACAGACATCCTAAAATACTCAGCTTGGCGCAAGACTTTGCTAATATCCTGAAAGAGAAGCACCAGGAGATGACCAAACTACTCTGTCCAAAAGAAGTGGTGATAGAGGTTGTTCCCAGAGTCCTACAGGGCTTCTGGGTGCTTCCTCAACATGCTCTCTTAAATATGCCTTCACAGCTACTCAGCAAAATGTCTGTTGGGGTTACAAAGGCTGTTTTGGACCAGGTCTCCAGTGCTCTCACCACTGTGGAACATCAGGCCACTTTCACCCGCTCCATCAGGGATGACATGGTCCTGTCTATCTTAACAAAGATCAGACAGTCGTACCCGCATGATGTCCTAGTAAACAGGATCAAGAGTTTTGCACCAGTGCTACTGAGTAATATTGTTGATGTTGCAGTTGGACATATTTGTGAAATGTTTCAGCCCCAGAGCCCTAAAGTGACAGCTCATCTGAAATCTGATGGCGGTGGAAAGCCCAGCCTTGAGGAGAACCCAGAACCCACCACAGAACTAGATTCTGCTGCGGTTACAGCTCCTTCGACACCCCCTGCTGAACCT